TAACAACTTTTTCAGGTATGGTGAAAAAACAACTGGACTTTTAGTCGGGACACCTGGCTTCAAATGTTGGCCCTGCCACTTGCTAGCTGAGTGACTCCAGAGAGTTCCTTTCACTTCTGTGGGCCTCAGTTTCCCTATCTGTAAAGTGAAGAGTTTGGATTAAGATCTCTATAAACCCTTTTAAATGCTATTAATCAACAGTTCTCAAATTTTTTGGTTTTAGGACTTCTTTACACTCTTAAAAATTATTGAGGACCCCAAAGAGTTTTGTTTATGTGGGTTTCATCTATCAATATTTGCCATACTGGAAGTTGAAACTGATATTTAAAAATGTTTATTAATTCATTTAAAACAATAGTGATAAGCTAATTACATGTTAACATAAATAACATTTAAATGGAAAACAACCATTTTCCAAAAACAAAAATTTAGTGAGAAGAGTGACATTGCTTTACATATTTTTGCAAATCTCTTTAATGTCTGGCTATGTCTCGATTCTCATATCTACTTCTGCATTCATTCTGTTGTGATAGGTTGTTTTGGTTGATGTATGTGAAGAAAATCTGACCTTACACAGATTTGTAGTTGGAAAAGAGAGAAATATTTTAATAGGTAAATAATGTCTTAGTATTTTTATGAAAATAGTTTTGACCTTGAGGATTCCATGACAGAGTCTCAAGGACCTTCAGGAGTCCTCAGACCATACTTTGAGAACCATTACTCTAAATCATGTGATCCTCTTGAGCCATTTATTTGTTGCCTTAAGAATAAAATGTTTAAAAATGGTCAAGTGGAGATTTTTTACTGATTCACTTCCATTCCATCTCTCCAAAGGGTCTCCATTATCCCACATTGCCTCTCTGGGTTGCAAAGTTCATATAGTATTTTTAGTTTGCATGGCAATGAGAGGTCAAGACTCACCATTGAGTTCTCATTCACTACTGTTGTTAACAAAGATAATAGCCACCTTTCCTTGAGTTATAATTTTATTGTATTTTATATGAAAGCATAACTTATGTATTACAGTTGTATGGTAAGGTTAGATATTTAGCTTGAGAAAGATAAAATTTATAATTTGACTCTTTGGAACAGAAGTAGTGAACACTCTTAATTCCAAATTTATTTAGATGGAATACATTGCCTTACTTTTAACTTGTTAAAAAAAATGAAGGTGAAAAAATGTGTGTTTAACTCTGGAGGAAGAGCATAAGAGGCTAGCTGAGTTCCTAAACAAATATCCTTTTAGGAGAAGTGGAATTGTTTTGCTATAGAAAAGATAATCAGTTGTGCTTTTGTATTTTTAAAAAAATGACTTAATGAACATACTTATTTGTAGACATCTGGGCTTGGGAGCCCAGCCTCATCATTTTTAATTTCAGAACAAAAAGGAGGCCCAGATTTCTGATTTAGCCGCCCAAATAAACATTTTCAATGAGGAAAAGAAGGCTTAATTCCTACTAGTTAGCTAAGCAGTTAAATATTTTCCAGAAAATAGAAATTTAATCAAAGTCCCCAGTGAAATTCAAGGGTACAAACAATAAGCATAATATTTTATGAAAATGACCCCCATATTTAAAATCTGGCATTATATGTTATGCATTGTAGCACCAAGTCCACATCTACCTTTTAGAAAATTAAAACACATAAATTCTGTTTAGTGTTTGATATGCACTGCACTAGCTGGGAGCCATAATGCCCCTAAAACCTTGGGTTGCTTTTCACCTTTCATAAATTCCTGGGTAGATTCTATACAAAAAATAATTTTCAGCTCCGTGGCTCATTGTTATTCAGACTTGATTGATCGTCGTCATTTACTCAGTGAGGAAGTTAAGTGCTCCTGTCATTTCCGAAGAGTATAATTGGGACGTTTCACAGGTCAGCGGTAGTGACAGGTTTCTCTTTTGATTAGTGTTAGACTGATAACAAAAATTACAGTTTCCAATGATTAATGTTTCCTCTAGCCCCTAAATGCACAGCTCACAGATTGGACCTAAACAAAGTGAATTTGCATCTGATTAGGCCTTTCCTCAGGAGAGATTTTCATAGGCTTAGGAGTGTCTTAGACAGGTATACCCTGGGCATTCAGTATCCCTGCCAGGCTGAATGCTGGAGCTAACATACCAGTCTGGGGATGCTCTCATTATGTGAAATTAGCATGCTAATAATGTGTCTTAAATTCAGTCCTAGCTGTGAGGCTAGACTCTGAGAACTAAGGAAGGATGGCCTAAAGTTGTGGATACCATTGAACTTAGGCTAGTTTGTGTGGTTATTGGAACACTTGTGGCTTGGGCTTCATTGATCTGTACTCTTCCAATAGAAAAAAGGGAGCTCAAATCTCTGAGCATCCTGAGATGCCTCTCATTATCATCTTCCAGAGAAGCTTGAGTAGAGCTTTTATTTGGGAAACACAACCAAGTTTTTAAAAGCTAGGACCTTTAGTGCATAGCTTTAATAGCTTGCCTTTTAAAAGTATAGGGATACATCAACACTGGGAATGTTTCTCTGTTTTCTTGGTTGGGTTTTTTGGTTTGTTTCTTGGAAATATAAAAATGATGCCGCTATATAGATGGGGGAATTTGTGTTTTTTTTCCCAATTACATTTTTTAAATTTTCTATGGATATTTATGCTTGGGCCAGAAATGCCTGACAAAATGAAGATGGGAATTACCTAAGCTTCGTGATAATGAGACACAGCCGTTGGCTTCCCTCATGCTTTTAATCTCTTGCTCCATAGACTTGACTCACTGAGTTTAAATGATGGAAATCTTTGCAGCCCCATCTGGCTTGGAGCAAAAGCCCCAAATACAGTACTTTGCTTTCCTGGAGTACACTGGGAGCTGTTCTGTATCTGGACTTTGGAAACGGACACTTGTCCTTGGCCAATAATTTGGCAGGTTTTTGATAGTGGTGTGCTATCTGACATTCCTGTTGCCCAAGTGTGGCACCTTGGATAGGTTTTTATCCCATATACTTCAGGCAGAATTGAAGGACTAGTTTCCTTTCTGTGGCCAGGGAGAGATGCTTGTAGTCAGAAGCAAAATATGTAGCTTTCAAATACTTCACACAGCCTGGTGACCCTTTCTTTCTCTCTGTGTAAGGAAGAGGAAAGCAGTGCTTCAGCAGAGGGATTTCAATTTTGAGGCCTATTTATCATAAACAGCAGGGGTGGTTTTAGTCATGGTTGTTGAAGGAATTTACAGTGAAGGGGAAATAGGGGGAATAAAAACCTGTTTGATGTGGACACTCCCCAAACCTTGTGTCTTCTGGGATATTTATTAAAGAGCTCTTTTCTTTCTTCCCGCCCCCCCCCCTTTAAGCAAGTATCTTTCTGGGAGGGGATTCTGTAGAAGGGAATGTTGAATTAACTTTCCACAATTATTGTGTACATCTGTTGATCTCTTTAAAAACAGTAGTAGGTCACAGTGGCAATTGAGAAAACTGCCGCCTGCAGAGCTGGAGAGGGGCTTTGACTCTTGTCCATAAGAACTGCTGATCAAGAAGTGATGCAGTGCTGGTGTAGGTTACTGGGTTAGGAGTTTGGTTTTTTTTCCCCACTCTAGATTTCTATCTTTTTTTTCTTTTTCTTTTAAACTGCAGTATCACAGCCTATGCTGCTGTGACACATGATTAGATTAGTGAATTGAGTTGGTATGACACTGCTGCCGGGGGAAATCATATTCCTCTCCCTCTCCCCTCTTCTTCATATACCCAGTGGTTTATATAGATATCCGTGCTAAAGACCTATTTGGAAAGGAACAGGGACCCTGAAGTCATCATGCTCACCTGGCTTTCGCGTTTGTTCCCTGTGAGGAGTGCCCCTCAGCTTGACTCTCAGTCTGTAGCTTGGTTTTGATTTCCAGAAAAAGAGCAGACAATATAAACACATGCTGATTTCTGTTGCTTTTTAATAAAATGGAGTAAGCAGAATTCTTTCGTTCTGCAGAAAAGGGGGAAAGCAAATTAAATGTGAAACCATCACCATTCTGAGACTTCTGTGGCCTGGGGGACTGGTAGGGTTTCAGGCATTTAGGTAGAATTTGGCCATGAATGTTCCTCATTGACAGGCAGCCAGTTTGGTACTAGCTAGCGTTCACTGGGATTACAGTTTCATTTTGCAAGTTGGTATGGTGACTTAGATGAGTTATTTTTATTTAAAGCTATTCAAAAGGAGAACATTTTAAACTAACGGCCAAGTAATATTAAAATGTATCTAGCAAGGTTAGTGTTGCCTTGGTTTCAAGAAGTGTAGTTTGTTCTTGAATGGTGTATTTGGTATTCATTGTGTACGTGGTTACCACATACTGTATATACTGTACCTGAAAGAAATTAAAAATGTTCGATTTGGCCTGGTTAATGTTTTTTGCAATAATAGGTTTTATAAATTTTTCAAGCCTGAAGAACATGGACTCCTGAGAATTTTCAGCTCCTCTTAAGTTTCATGCTTTTAAGAAAAGAGGGAAGGATTGATAGAGTAAAAATACATTGAAACCAGGCTGAATTTCCTTGCTTTTATCAGCATTAAATCCCCCATTCTTCTGTCCTCTTTCTTTCTGTCCATCAGTTTGTCCTGTGAAACAGTGATTATTTTATACAATCCTGACAGCAAAGACATCAACAAAGAAAGCTGTGGGCTCGCCTGGAAGGCCGGCTCTTGGAGCTGACTGCTATTTTGATAGGCCTGCTTTCTATTTCCTTTTAGACTGGTTTTGGATTGGCAAATGACATATTTTAAGGGAGAATCCTTAAAGCTCACATTTTAGGGAAAGATTTTAAGGATTCAGGATGGTTTGGGAGATAATATTTTGAAATATAGTCCAGCAATGGATAATGACTTGTCCTCCAGTCATAGGGAGAAAACTTGAGTTATAAATGAATTTACTGAGGTGGGGTGTGGTGTTTCATAGATACCCGCCCTCCCCCCTTTTGGTAGAGAAATATTTTCACTTGAAGTGGCCCCAAATGAGTTTTTGTCTGTGCTTATAGTGCGTTTCTTTCCCTAGAGGCGAGCCTTAGATGCCGACTCCGACTCCGATGAAGATGAAGTGGATTTTGTGGAGGTGCCCGAGAAGGAAGGTTATGAGCCCCACATTCCAGACCACCTGCGGAAGGAGTATGGTGAGTTTGCCCAGCTGTGAAAGGCTTTATCCCTCCGTGTTACTGCTGCAGTAAAGTAAATAAACAGCCATTATGAAGTAATAAAGTGATCAGTGGTGTGGGTAATCTCTCTGGCTGCTGGGAGGAAGTCATTACACAGATAGGGGAGCTGTGATTGGGTCTAGATAAACAAATACTTTCGAGGAGAAGCAGCCACCGAGAGCCCAGGCACTTATTTCATTCAGCTGGGCTCTGCCATGGCTCGCTGAGGAAAGCTGCTGGGTGCCTGGGAAACAGAGATATTTATTTGCTCAAAGGGAGAAAAAAGTTTAAGTGTATAAATAGCCAGTGGGTAGAAATCTGGATGATGAGGTCTTGGTGAAACTGGGTAGTATTTTGCACTGCTTGCTGCAATTACAATATCAGCAGCTCAGGTCTTTTTTGGCAGCCGGGCTTCGCCTGCCTGCAAGGTGATGGGGAGTGGTCGCTGGGGCACAGACCAAGTGCTTTGGGGGCTTGTTGCCCATCAGTGACCAGATGGGATTTTGTTCTTACCGCCTTCCCAACCACTAGGGAAAGGTTTGGGGGATTAAACACATTATTGGGCACTAATAAAGCTGACAGGTGAATTAGTGGACCATAAAGAACTGAAATGATAGTTCCATCAAGTACAGCTCCCCCTCTGCCACCCACAGCCTTCCAGAATGCAGCTGATGGATTTATGGAATGAGCGCCCCTTGCTGGGGTACACAGGATGCCTTGTGAGGACACTGCCAATGAGAGATTGGGGTGGTCTGAGCTTCAAGCCCAAACAAAGCCCTGCCTATTGTAAACCGTTCCATCCAGATTCCAGTTTCTGTTCTGTACTAATAATGATGATGATGACAAATTTGTAGCTGATACAGTTTTCTCCTTTGATCCTTTTAATACTTCTACAAGGTAAATGATAGCTAGCATTTACGTAGTGCTTTAAAGTTTGCAGAGCGTTTTACAAATTTGAGCTCATTTTATCCTCATAACAACTCTGGGAGGTAGGTGTTTTTGTTATCCTCATTTTATAGAAGAGGAAACTGAGGCAGATAGGCATTCCCAGGGTCACATAGCTGGTGAGTTCCTGAGGCAAGGTTTCCTGACTGGTTTCCTGACTCCAGGTCCAAAACTCATTCCAGCTGCTCAAATAGTGCAAATATTGTTAGCCCCATTTTATAGATAAGGAAATTGAGGATAAAAGAGGGGAAATGAGTTGTGGCCTGTGCCCTGGATCTCTTCCCCAGCACTTTCTGACTCCACTGAACCAGGCATGCTCCAGCTACACACAAAGTGTGGTTTCCTTAAGTGTTTTGTGGTTCACAGTTATCTTTTCTCTGCTCCCTTCTCCTCGTTTGGGGAATGTAGATTTACCATCAGCTAGGGAACTGGCAGAAACCAGGGGACTGGCAGAGCATAGGGCTACCTGGGCCTTTGATGTTCAGTAAGAAGGGCCTTAGATCTTCTGGGCTGGGGCTGGCTCCTTGTCAGGAGAGGCACAAGTGCCCAGGAGGAAGAGCTGTGTGGCCTGTTCTTCAAAAAAGACATTTCTAGAGCATCAGATGTGTGGTGATGGTGGCTAGAAGAGCTGTGGGACTTTGGGCAAGTATGTCCCTTTCACTCTCTGAGCCTCATTTCCTTCCTTTGTAAAATGAGGTTGGACTAGGTGGCCTCTAATGTTCTTTCCAGTGTTGATGTTTTGTGGTTTTGAGAGTCCACTAATAGAGATTTGTTTTCAACATTTTCAACCAAGTGAGAAGAGTTTTAACAAACAACTAACCCCTCCCTCCCCTGCTTCAAAGTCTAATAGGATATCACTGAAAATGTACCATGATGTCCTGCTCAGTATATTATTATCATTAGTACTCCAGTCTCTTGATGTTCAGGGAAAATAATTTAGCTTCTGCACTAACCAAAAGAACAGCTCTTTTCAGTTAAAAGGATAAAAATAAGGTGCTCTGTATTTGAAAGTTAATCAGGTCTGTCCCCTCTGAGGGCTGTGGCTTCCCAGCCCAAAACCTTTTTTGTTTCAGAGCTCATTTTATTATCCAAAATTATTTAGATTCTCTGTGTTCTACTTTGAAGCTTAATGTTCACAGAGGGTTCAACATGTTTTGTATGTTGGTTTTCCCAGTAGTCCTTTGTTTCTAGGGCATTATGCCCCAGGTGATGAACCTTTATCATAGATACGGATGGAGAGTGACTTGAGTTCTCGCCCAGATTGTTGAACTTTGAGAGGCCCTGTTAATGGAAGGTCACAGGACTTGGGGCTGGGAGGCCTGGGCTCCACCCTCAGCTACCAGGCAAATCATTTCACGCCTTGGAGCCTCGGTAAAATGGGGATTAAGATGCTCTCACTATCTGTCTCTCAGGGCTGTTGGATCAAATTCGTGTATCTAAAACACTTTATAATGGCAAAACGCTATATAAATGTCAACTGAGATGATCATAATTACATGAGCCCTAAATTAATTTCTGATTTTCAAAAACTTAAAGAGTATAAAGTGGTGTGATTAAATCGATGGATGCTTCTAATTACGACATCTGTATAGTATTTTGTAGTTTCCAAAGCACTTTCCTCCCAGCAACCCTGTGAAATATGTAGTGAAAGCACTATCATGAGAAAATGACCAGTTCAAGGTCATGGGTTGAGGGCAGTTGGCCTTGGATCTTCTGACCCCAAGGTCTGTGGGTTGTCCACTGTACTATACTTTTTCTGTCTCTACTCCTGGCTCTCTTACATCAGAGTTTCCATGGCAGTAGACTGTACTGACTGATTTGACCAAAATGACTTATAGATTCCTTCCTTCACTGAGTGTGTTGACATAGATTCTTCACTGATTTAGTATTGAATCCTCATTTATAGCCCTTCCTCTTCTCTGCTCTTTGCTCCCAGTTTCTTCCTCTCTCTTTGTTCTTATCCGAAGCATTTTATGGGGATTTCTCAAGTATCTTAAGGAGACTGAAAAGAAAGAAAAGTGCCAGTCTGTTTAACAAAATACATTACATGTTGGATGCTGCTTCTTTTTGTTCATGTGTAGGCCCGAGGAGTCCTTATTCTATCAGAGGGGGCAGCATCCAAGCCGCAGGCCAGACATCTACCATTTTTTGACAGATAGTAGCACAGGACAGACCCAGGGACATTCCCATGTGGTACTATCTGGGCACAGTTGAACCCTGGCCACTGTGTCCTGTTAGGATAGATTCCTTTATCAGCAGGACTTATCCTAGGACCTGATCTCAGCCAGAATTCCCAGCAAGCAGAGTGTGTGCCGTCCTTCAGGGCAGGTTGGGCATTAGCATGAAGCTGAAGTGGTGACTTTACTGCCTCCCCTTTAGTGCCCTTAAAAAAAAATGCAATGTGCTACTACTGTAGCACATTGTAATAATTAGCCACCAAGTTTCATTGGTTTGAGATTTAACTTTTAAAATTAGCATTTAGGAATAGGCATTTTCAGTAGTAAGAAATTTTAATATGACTGGCATTGTTTTTATCTCCATTACCGTTTCACATTTTTTGTATTTTATCATCTGTCTCAATAACTGTAGGCTTAACCCCTTCCCTCCCCATTGAGCAAGTAATCAAATTACTGTTTGTGTTATTATATGATACAGCAACCCATAATACACACTTCTTGAAATTTACAAAGGTTCAGACTCCACAGTTTAATCTGAACACTTCATTTGTTACTTATTCTAGAGAAGCGTGTTGTGGGTTTTTAATTTTTCAAAAAGAAAAAAAATATTTACCTTTGAATTCAAGTTCATGTCACTCTCCTGCTCAGTGGCTCCCTAATGCCTCTATTAAGAAACACAAATTCTTTAGCCAGGCATTCATGGCCTTCCACAATCTTGACTTCAGCTTGCCTTTCCTGTCTTCTTTTGTATCATACCCCTTCACACATTCAGACATTCTAGGTCAAGTAGTCTACTAGGTATATGAATGAATGAAAAACACTCTTTGAATACTTAATATGTGCTAAATGCTGAAGATACAGACAAAATCAAGACAGTCTCTAACCCTCAAGGAGCTTATGGTTTGAGGGGGGAGACAATACATATAGGAGAGTGGTAGCCAGGGGTAGGGAGTTACAGTCTGGGAAGTCATAAAGCTGGTGAGGGGAACAATAGGACCATGTAGGTGATGTTGTATTTTGATTTCAGTTATGAGAGCAAGAGGTAGAAAAGTTGGGGTGGGGGTGAAGGGAGTAGGTGCAGGGTGACATGATGAAAACAACCAGGTAAAAAGAGGTGCATAGGGATAGCTTCTGTATCAGGCTCCAGAATCCCAGGCATTCAGATTAGCCTCCTGGACACAAAAGCTCTCACAGCCTCTTTCCTACTTGTTGCTTGTTGAGAGGCAGCTAGGTAGTGAACTGGATAGATTGGTGGAGTCAGGAAGACACTTGCTATGTGACTCTGGACAAATCATGTCATCTCTGCCTGCCTCAGTTTCCTTATCTTCAAAATGGTGATCATAATAGCACTTAACTTTCAGTGTTGTCATGAAGATAAAATGAGAAGTGCTTTGTAAACCTTAAAGTGCTATATAAATGCTCGCCATTATTACTATTACTATTGTTATTGATTTCTCCATATCTGATTCTTTGACTCCAAGATTAGGCCATCCCCTCCTCTTCAGCTCTCCCTCTCCTCCCTCATGCATCGTTCTTGTCATTTCTGCCTTTCAGAATTCTTCTCTTTCTCAATTATGCTTAGCCCAGTTATAATCTGTGAAGCTTCCACTGATCTTGTATCTGAGAGTCTAGATTTCTTCTTTACTCCTATTACATTCTAACATGTATTATACTTACCTGTGTGTATGTGCTGTGCCCTGGAGTATGTAATGGGGACTCCTAAGGACAAAGGCTATCACATTTTAATCTTTCTATTTCTCAGGATTGAGCACAGTGCCTTGCACATAGTGGGGCATAATAAACGTTTGTTGAATTACATTAACAATGTGAATTTTTGGCATCCCAGGGTTTTAGACC